GGTTTTCCCCTGTTTTGGGCTTTTTGGGGGGGGTCCCCTTTTGGCCCGGTTTTTAAGAAATTTTTTGTTTTTTTTTTTTTTTTTTTTTTTTTTTTGCTGAGCTCTGCCAGTGGCTGCGCTGCTTTTCCACACTTTATTGAGATGAGCCGGATTCAGGCGTGCAAGCTTAGCAGATTGTGCTCCAGCTCTGCAGGACGAGGTCCCAGAGGATTCAACGACACGGTAAGACACAGCATGCAGGGAGCGGTGCATGGGAACCTGCTAGAATAAGAGTTTGTCAGGGTGGATGCCCTCATGTTAACCTCTGATCATTCGGTGGAAGGAGTGTTTTCTTTACAAAGTCTTTAAAGTGTGTCAGATTGAATTCCTTAGCCACTTTGGATGATTGAGGTTTTTCTAGCATATTTTCCTAGTGTGTGTGTGTGTGTGTGGCTTTTTTTTGTTCTGATGACATCTTTGGCCGTAGAGGAGCGTTGTACTGGAAGAGCTGCAGGAGATGAGTTATTGCAGGCAGAGTGGTGCAAGTTTTACATCCTCCTGAGATCATCCTTAGTGTGAACGGAGCTCAGCTGTGTGGAAAAACGCTTCCACACACACTGTCCGAGATACTTTTCATCATTTTCAACTCTTACTCGGTGTTACACACCACAACCACTGCAACACACTGAGCAGACGAGGAACACGAGAAACGGGATGAGTGAAGATTTATGAGCAGCTGTTAGCTTACAGCTTAACTTTCTTCATGAAATTGATATTTTTTATATATTTCTGTTGAATCTGCTCAATTATTCAGATTATTACGTTTCTGTTTAGGAAGACAGAGCAGAACGCAAAAAGAAACAGATGAATCGATGCTGGATTATCTCAATGTTCTTTAAGGGAGATCTATTAGTTTTGCCTGACTCCAGTTTGTCACAGACCCAGAACGTCTCAAGAGAGTTTTTGTTTTCAAAGGTTCATTTCTGAAGCGGTGATCGTCCGGTTGCTGCTTCATGAAGAGAAGAGATGCTGACGATGCTGCTTCTGGGATGGACTGCATTACTTTCTGGCCTCCCACATGCAGCTTCCTCTTTAACGTCCCGTAAGTGAAAAGTGAACACTGTCCCCAGAACCTCCTCTCATCATTGTTTAGTCGGTGGAGCAAAATCCCTGAACTCCTCCAGTAAGGGCTCACCGATAAATCGGCCCAGACTTCCTTAGTTTTGGGAGGTCGGTGGTCGTCCGACACTTACATGTTAAACCAATATTTGGCTTCACGTGGACTACAAGTCTTTCTCTGTGTCTCTAATGTTCTAGCAGTATTTCACGTGTTTATGTTACTTGTGTACATACAGGAGTGAGTAGAGGCAGCCGATGGCCGGCTCGGAAATGTGAAGTCTTCATCCTGCCTCCTCTTCCTCCTCCTATGTTTCCTCCAATCACACACAAAGCAGAGCTGATGGTAAGGAGGCCTTCAGCTCACACACCAGTTAAAAAGCATGCTCTGCAGCACATTCAGTTCTGCAGTTTCAGCTTCTATAATGTCGTTGGGTTGCAAACTATGAAAAAAAATTCATCCGGCGATGCTGAGCCCGTTGTCCTCATACCTTCAGGTCGACATGACAGAACACATCACAGGACCCACAGGAGAAAAGGTGGGGAAGGTCTTTTCTATTTTATATGCTAATCGTTGCTAAGGCCACCCAGCACAGTGGCACAGAGAACTTTTTTTTGTTTGTTTGAAACATTACAGAGCGCTTTATGATGTTTTATGTTTAAAGGGCTGCAGAGGGCTGCGAGGAGCAAAGGTACAGAACTCAAATTTTATCTGTTTTTTTTTTATGTTATAGATTTAAAGCAATAGTTCCTTAATTCTGTTTGTTTTTAGGGTAAACCTGGTGTGACGGGTCCAAAAGGAGAGCCAGGACCACAAGGTCCTCTGGGAAAACCAGGCCAGAAGGTAAAAGGCAGTTTATACCATTTGAAAATCTACACAAGTCAGGGACATACAGTTTGTCCCAACATATGCTTATGTTGTTAAGATAATGACCAACAATTGAAAAGGATGCTAAAAGAATCTAAGGTTTGTTTAGCCAGTCAACACTGTCATTTTCAAAGATCTTTATTAAATCATCTACTCCTCTGTCGAAACTATAAGTAGATTAACACCACTTTGTACGGTGCACAGTTCTCGTGTGGTCTTCTCGGTGCTGCACGCACTGCAGGCTTGTCAAACACACCAGGACCCTGAGAACCGACCCAGACCTGAACATGGAGCAAATGACTGTGTCCCAACCCGCCAGGCTCAGGCCACAAATCTAAACACAAGTAAAGTTTGATTGCTAATTAGGAATAAAGTCTAGAAACATGCAAACCTATGCAAGTACAAAAAAGTGAAACACATATATAAGACTATATATAACTTTTCAATTGTTTTAAGTCTAAAATAATTCATCTGAAAGCTTTAATTGGGTCTCCAGCGAGTTCTCCATTTCCACATTGAAGGCTCCCATCTCTGTGATTGATCCTGTAAAATATGGTGCAATCATTAACTCTGTCCAAAAGCCTGACCATTACGTAAACAAAATAGCGTGTAGCTGCATGGCGGCATAGATTACCGTATAAATTTTTTTTACATGACTGTTCATTCATATCTGCACTACCAAATATGGTGCACACATTTTAAAATGATACATTTTTAAGTAATTGCGCATCATCTCAAAACACAAGCTTTCAGTGAAAATGAAAAACAATCCAGATATTATTATTAGAAATTTTGATCAATCTCATGAGAGCAGACATTTTGAAAGGCAAAAAAAAAAAAAAAAAAAAAAAACACTGCACCATAATGCACTGTACTGAAGTGCAGTTATAATCCAGCAGAAGGCAAAATACATGTCAAATATTGTATTCAACAGGTCGTTACAGTATTAATCATGCTTGGGGGAAAAAAGAGAGTTCACAGAAACTTTTGAAGCAAATATGATACAAATGGTGGTCAAAGGCTTTGACCTTTGGAAGCCTGGAGCTGATGGGGGTCACTGTGTCCCACAGGGGGAGAAAGGTGAGAGAGGCTGGAGGGGTCTGTACGGAGACATCGGGACTCCTGGGATGATAAAGGTGCAACAAAGCTTTAATTCATATTACGTTTTACCAATTCATGGAGAAAATGTCTCAACTATTTAAAAATAAATTAAAAATACATCTCTCCATAATATGTAGAACAACACCACCAGGGGGGGCCCAAGAGTACCCTCTGATTTTATTTTGTAGTGCTAGATTACACATTTTACACTGCCTGCACTTTCTGTTCCAAGTTAAAAATAAATTATATTTAATTTGTTAGCTGGCTTACAGTGTTTGTCTGCAGGTATTACCTTTAAATAGTTAAATTAATATGCTACATTTAAATAACACTCTGAATCTCAAAATACAAATTAGAGCAGTTTTGCTTGTTTGCTTCTCCTGTGAGGTTAAAGTCAACAGCCATAATAACCAGTGTGATGTGCACTGAAAAAACACAAAGTCTGACCAAGTATTGTTGTGCAAATATCTTAGCACATTTGAAATAAGACAAATTTATATTTATAAATGTATAAGTAACTTTTCAGCAAGATATAGGAATCAATATTTCCTTAATATTGATTAAAAAATTCTAGTTCCACTTGCAGATTACCTCACTTATAACAAGACATCTTTTTCATGGTATAAGTGAAATAATCTGCCAGTGGAACAAATATGTTTCCATCAGTATTAAGGAATTATTTACTTAAAACAAGATGCTATTTCTTGTTACTTGTTAGCTAGTTTTGTCTTATTTCATTGGAACTAAGATATTTGCTGTAGAACTAAACAAAAATTCTTGGTACGATTTAGTTTTTGCAGTGTAAGCTAATAATTGATAGTATGGTGCAGCCTAGGAACGATGAAGTATCTGGTTTTGACATGTTGGTATGGGGAAGGGGCAAATTAAAATCTGGTTGGGGCCCCAAAAAGGCTTGGGCCAGCCCTGTTGGTGTTTATGAATTTAGCACAAGTGGACCACAGAATGGACCTAAGGGAGTTTGTGTTGTGTTGTTACAGGGCAGTAAAGGTCATCCAGGACTCAGGGTGAGGAACATTTTCTCCTTCCTTTTCTTGCCAGCCCTCTCTGAGCTGCTCGTCTCTCATCTCCTGTCTTTTCTCTCTCGTTATCAGGGTGATAAGGGTCTCAAAGGACACAGAGGCCCCACAGGAGAGAAGGTTAGGAAGTCAGATCTTTTTCCTCCACTCAATGCTGATCGAAACGCACTCGGATCTGGTGTGTATGTGTGTGTCCGCAGGGCGAGCGTGGCATCCCTGGGACGGCCGGAGAGCAGGTGAAACTCTGACTGATGAGTGTTAGACGTATATAAAAGCTGCGTGGCGGAGAGGCTGTGACAGAATGCATGTCCTGTCTCAGGGACACCCGGGTCAGAAGGGGGACAGAGGTCTGATGGGGGAGCAGGGAACAAGAGGAGAGCCAGGAGCCAGAGGAAAGATGGTAGGTCCACATAGATGTACTGCATGCATACTGACGGGTGCTCATGTTTTCTCACTGATTGTGGTAGAACAACACAAAGTAGTGCATAACTGTGAAGTGGAAGGAATGTATGCATCTATAGTCATAAGCAAGCATTGATTTTTCAAAGAGTCAGTAAGTCAGTAATTGTGTGCAGGGCTTGAAAGGTTCTATTGGACTGGCCGGGGAGCAGGGACACCTCGGTGCAGCAGGACTGCCTGGTCTACATGGAGAGCCTGGTCTACCTGGACAAGGTCTGTATGGAAAGAAAAAAAATCAATATAAAATAATTAAAAATATGATTCAGTTCACTCCATTCACCAAGTATAACTCATTATGTAGATTAATTCCACACAGTAAGATGTTTTCAAGTCCTTATTTCTGTTAATGTTGATTTTTCTGCTTACATTTAATGAAAACCCATTAGAGTATTACAATAAAAAGAATAGATTTTTAATACTGAAATGTGGGCTGAATGAAAAAGTAGGTTTAACACCTCAGTGAAGGTCGTTACATGTACCTGGGCTTTATAAAGTCATTATGAGCTTTCCATGTGTAATCATGGCTGTTGAGACCAGTGGTTTCATATATTGGCAGTTGCCCAGGGTAACAGTAGAAATGGGGCGCATGGTGAAAAGAACAACCCAGCTGTAGTTGGAGTCCTATACAAGTTTTCTGTGCAGTTGCCAATTTCAGCAGACAGGAGTCAGACCCGCATGCTCCTCCTTGATAAACAATGGAGATAAATGGATCTGTGAGCCTTAGAAACTTTTCAAACTCTAATGTTTACCTCTGTAGCATACGAAGCGTTTGATCCATATCCCTGCAGTTTTATTGTTGAGTTGAAGCATGAGAACAAAATTGCTGACATACCTGATAAGAAGTTAGGCGCTCCGGTCCCGGCTGAGTGAAGCAGCTCGTGTTGTTCCAGTGTACATCCTGCCAGGCCTGCAGGGAGACTCCGGCAGCAGAGGACCCTCAGCCCCCTGCAGCTGCCCACAGGGTCAAAGTTCGCAGAGACCATTGGACAACGTCCTGACGGTCAGTAAACTCACCCACTTCCACTGACTGAACAATGTGGTTCCAACAATCAACACATCAACCTGAGGTCTGATAAGTGGAGGCGGCATGCTTCCTCCCAGCAGGGGGCCTTAGATATGCATCCTGACATTCAGGCCTCATCTGTTTGAGATCCTGTTAAATTCTGTGAGCTTCTTCTTGTCTCAGGTATCTTAATCCCCCCCCCCTCTTTTTAGGATAGATATTCATCCCGTCTTTATCTCTGCAGGTGTTTGTCGCAGACGGAGAGAAAGAGATGAGGCGGCTGCGTGGGGAGAACGTGATGGTGCTGCGGACGGACAGAAGATCTCTCTACATCTACACAGATTCTCAGTGGATGAACGTCCTGGTAACCGCTGCCGGAGAGGCAATCCAAGAAGTTTAAAAGGGATAGAAATACAATATTATCGGAAAGAAAAAGGTTTTATTTATCAGGACATAAAAAAACATGATTTGGCCTGTGCTATGATCTAACATTTAGGTTTTCTTGAACCTTCTGCTAGATTCTCATCTGCAGCCAGTGAACAGACGTCCCTTTAGGATGTGTCAAAGAACATCCTGGAACAGTTTAGCTCCACAAGTTTGAGATTACAGAAGTCTACACATGCTCAAAGAGCGTCCATCCACAGAACATCAGCACATACACAGGAAGAAGTTCAAACACAGAAGTTCCTTCAGTTTGTCGCACAGAGTTGACAAAAGTTAAAAGTATTCATACTGATGAGGCATGGGATCAACTACCAGAGTTACTAGAGAGGAAAATTTAAATGAACACATTTAAGGAGCTGGACCAAATGAAAATGACTTCAATATTTTGTCCTTATTCGACCTTTATATGTTTTTTGTCCCATTAAGTTATGTTGGACAACTGCTTCAACCAGGACTACCACCAAGTATTTTACAGTGATTTGACTTTGATATTGTGAATTATAGAAAAGATCAAGTTTGTTTTTTTTTTTGTTTTTTTTTTGCAGCATGATCGTCTTTAGGTACCGTATGCTATTGTTCCTCATGAATAGATCGCAGCATGTTCAGTTCACTGCAGTCGTATTAAATGAAGTAGAATTTGAATAAAAAGTTCATTTACTTTAGTAAATTAATTGACTAATTATTTATTTGCACACAGACTGATTTCAAGCCTTTGTTTTATTTAATCTTGATTGACTGCCTTTCACCCAATACATGACATTTATAATCAGAATGTGACTTCACACTAATTGTCTGCTTAAAGGTTATTATATTGAAAAAGTACTTTAACATAGCCATCCATTCTCTGTGTGTTTTTGCTGCGTCTCCCTGTTTGGACCAGGAGGGCCGCAGGCTGCACCCTGACACCTAACTGGGTGATCCTTCCAAGCTGACTGGTGGATCATCAGCTCGATTCCTTCTCCCTCTCATGCAACATTTTACTGGTTTCAAAGATTCACTGAGTCCAGATTAAGAATCTCTGCATGTCTGGTATTTTTTCATTGATGAGGATTTTATTTTATTTTTTTTAACAATTGTTTTTCAAATTCAGATTTTCCTCATGCAAACACGTGTCCATCATAAATGTGAAGCTCTGTTGTATAAGCAACCACAGATGATAAAACAAAAACACCAATAAAGCTCCCATCACTTTTGCAATGTCAGAAAATGTGTTCCCAACATGAACATTTGTGTGTCTGTGTCCAATCCATGGCACATAAACATGTGAAAAACTGGTTCACAGAATAATTAATTTAGGTAAATTGTTATATTTAGCGAAATACTATTGTTGAGGGTCACAGGAAGGCCTCACAAAAAAAAAAAAAAAAAAAAAAACTCAAAAAGTGCACTTGGGGCATCAAGAATAAACGGTCCAGGGGCTCATGTTCCTCCCCCGGATGTGCCTGAGTTCACTAGCAAGGACCACACCACAAAGATGTAAGTTTAAAGATTTATTGCAGGAAAGGAATGGAGGGATGAATGAGCTTGGATCTGAGGATAATGCTGGAGGTCTTGGGAGATGAAGACTCAGCGTGGGGGGTATGGTCTTCAGGAAAATTTGTTCCACTTATTTTCCCAAGCCCAACTACCTCAGGTTCTTCAGGACCCTGCGGGCTTTTCAGACGGAACCTGCAGCAAAAGCATGGAGTAAAGCATGGTTATGGCAATGTAGGGAAGGAAAATGGGGATGAAGATGGTGGGATAAAGGGAATGAAAGGGAAAGATTTGATGGACTGAAGTGGGGTGAGGTAAAAGAGGTAAAGGATAAGTGAGGGTGGGGTTGATGAAACGTAACAAACAGAGAATGCGTGAGCAGAGTATAAATAGACTTAGAGGTGTGCCGATCGATCGGTCACCGATCATAATCGGCCGATTTTCGTGAAAAAGTGCATGAT